CATTATATAGAGTCTTATGGGAGAAGTTCGAACACTTGCACAAAGTTCCTTAGTGTTTTGCGTATTTCGAAGGCGTTTTTCATCGGATAAGCGTGCTATTGAATATGAAGCTAGAACTAACAGTTCTCTATCTGCTGGTGTAAGAATCTCCTAAAAATCCCTCTCCTTTTCCGACCAGTATTCAACTGGAGACAGGGACCTCCAAACCGATAATTCCGGCCGATAAGCTATTTTGCGTAGGGTAATTCCCAGTTTAGACGAAGAAAAATGCAAATTTTATGTTTTTGATTGTAAAAGCTATTTCGAAAATTTCGACATAGTGCACACACTTTTGAAACTTGAAACAGCCTACCTTGTAGAGAATGCTTTGCTCTACAAGATTCTACTGCCAGCCCTAGTGGAAGTTCTTGAAGCCAAGAAAGCAAGATCTTGGGACATTTCTTGGCCAAGAAATAATTCTTGGGCTTTCTTGGGGCAAGAAAAGTTTTTCTTGGCCAAGAAATAATTCTTGGGATTTCTTGGGGCAAGAAAACTATGCTGTTGCAAGAAAAATCTATTCTGGCAAGAAAGTTATTTCTTGTAGCGAAAATATCGTACGAAGTTGGTACCAGCAGATAAAATGTGCGAAATTTAATTTCTGACATTTTTGGTTGCGGCACCAAATTTGTCAAATGTTTCCTTCTGGGTAAAAAGTGCTAATTATTATTAGGTTGTTTCTTGCACAAGAAATGACAAGATCTTGGGACATTCTTGCCCCAAGAACTTTCGCTAGGGAGTGTTTTCGATAATTCACAAACGGTTTCTAAAATCCACAATTTTCAAGTGACCGCTTTCTTAAAATGGAGTTTACGCCGAAAAAGATCTGAAAGACCTCTATAGAATCAGTTTCAACTATTCTTTCTAATGAGACGTTGCTCGAAAGTGTTGAACGAAAAATGACAGAGTTAGAGGTGAAACATTCAAAAAGTCTCTTTTTGCGGTGTTTCGGACGTCTTCACTTTGGAATGCCGCCTATAACTTCCTCATTTTTCGCCCAAACTCACTTAACTTTTTCACAACCTCAATTTTTTCTCACAGATTCAGAATATGTAATAAAAACTGTAGGTCAGATTTTGCCATGTTATGAGCTTTCTTCGTGCTGTCGTGCACTCTCTCTTAAATATTCTCATTAATTATGAGCAATTCATGAAAAAATTTCTATATATATCATGGGCTGTACTCTTAGAAGGTGAACAAAAAAATGAAACATGAAATTCGATTAAAAATAAGGAAAATAATATTGAAATTAGAGTTAGATGTTTATGAACAAATATCAGAATACTTACAAAAACTGATTTGATAGTTGTACAATTGATACTGGTGTGCGAATGTGATTAAAGTAAATACCTAGCATCGCACAAAATACGATATCTAGTGAAGTTTAATTATTTAATATTGCAAAAAATTATATAGACTGTTTATGTGTTATAATCATTGATTATTGTATCATATGTATGGCAGAGATACCGTATTTTGTACGATTCTAGGTACTTATTTTAATCACATTCGCACGCCATTACCGATTAAACAATTAAAGCTATCAAATCAGTTTCTGAATGAGTTTTTGTAAGTATTTTGATAAACATCTAACTCTAGTTTTAATATTATCTTCCTTAATTTTAATCGAATTTCATGTTTCATTTTTTATGAGACTCATAAGAGTACAGCTCAGGATATATATAGAAATAATACAAACGAGACAACTTCTCCAGATATCCAAGGCCGAATTGAATGATCTTTTGTCTGTAGATACTATACGATGTCCTAGTAAAAATTCTAAAAGAATTTTAATTATAAGAACATAAGTTATTAAAAGTTCTACAACTGAGGCAAAACACGATATCAAAGGCTGAAAATTTTTCTGCGGTAGTGCTAGGTGTCAGTTATAATCAAAAAAATTGCAGCCTTCTATCACTATTTCTTGCTAGGTTATAAAATGTTTCCGTTCTTAAGAAAAATCCATGTGTTCCAGAAAACGATATGTATCGATAAGTTTTTTGAAGAAAAATAGCTTGGATTGCAGAGTTAGTTGACCGTTCAATCTGACGAATAGCATCATCATAGTGAATGTTGTCTCCGTTCTGCCGCGCAGAGGCCTGCCACCTAAAAAGGGATTTTTATTTTTTTTGACTATAAGCGTGTTTTGCCTGAGTTATAAAATTTTTAATAATTTATGTTATGCGCTGTATGAGCAAAAGAAAATTTATAACTTTTCAAAGAAGCAATGAGAATCTTTTTAGAATTTTTACTAAGATACTGTATAGTATCGACGGGCAGAAGATCATTGAAATCGGAGTTGAACATCTAGGGCCTCGTAAGTCTGAATTAAATGCTAATGGCAATCGAGATTAATATACATTGGTATAAGAGAGGACAAGATGGCTATGAATGCCATTAACTTTCTCTTCTGACCATCTTCTAAGCAAAATAGTGTCATCTATGAAAATTTGTTGAATGCGACAATGTTCGGTTTCTTCGGGTGTGGGTTTAGGCCGAATATCAGTTTTATCGTTCGGTTTTTCGTTTTGAAAACCGAAACCGGTGCATACTTAACTGTGAATGATAACTATCAATTAACACTTTGAGATGGTTTGACACAACATCGGCATCACGTGATTCAGAACTAATATTGATATTTCCATGTTTTTCATCTAAATTGATTAAAAAAATTCTTTTTTAAGAAAGTTCTACATGTGATTACAAATTTTCCGTGACGTTAACCCTTTCGCGGCAGGTATCCCATATATGGGACGGTGACATTTTTCTTCTGATAAAGGTATCAATTTTGTACTTGCAAGTGCAATTTGATACTAGTAGTCGGCCGAAGATGTTGGTTTGTCTGCAGCCACACGGGCCGTGGTCCGAAGCAGGAAACAGAAACGAACTACGAGTGCAGGAATGCAATATTGGCTTATACATAGCGCCCTGTTTTAAGACCTATGATACATTGAAATACTTCTAATAAAAATTATGTTATAAAGGGCAGAGAGCCCATGGTTGCTAGGACGTCCAGCAATGGAAAAGACCACTTTGACTTTCAGACGCACAAGCTTTTTACAGACTAATACCAATTGCTTTTCCATTAAATACGAACAAGTTTTTCACTAAAAATAACCCCGCCGCGAAAGGGTTAAGTCATGCTATACACTCTTGAATTAACATTCGCAACTCTTCATCTTCAGCAGTCACAGTTGGTCGAACGTCTAGACATACCCAACGTGCTTCCAGATCTGTTACTTTACTGATTTCTTTTACGCTTAACGTTGTTGACGATGTTGTACAATAAGCGATTTTTGACTTTTGTTGTGATTTCTTGGTCGAATCTTTAGCTGAACTGCTTTCACAGGATGGATGTTCAGACATACGTTACCTGCGTTCTTTTCTTTCCACCACTTTTTTACTTTTTCTCTTTTCACTCACATTTCATCAACATGCGACGGGTACAGTCGTTGCGTCTGGATTTTAATTTTTCTAATCAAAGAAAAGAGAAAATAGCAATAAAACAAAGCTTTCTCGATTCCATTTTGTGCCACAGTTTTTTATTGTAATACTATATGAAGTAAAATTGTTTTAGCTCATGCTTTGGTCATATTAGGTTTTCATTTTCTTCTAGAACGAAAATAATGATTAATGCATCAGAACAATTATGTTCAAAATGCAGTAAAGCAAATGCTACTTCAATATGTATTGGCTGTAAACAGATATTTTGTCCCGAGGATTCAATCAGTCATCGTCAAGACCTGTCAAACGAATTTGATGCAGTTATTAATAAACACGATTTGCTACATCAACAGTTTGAAAAACAGGACAATGACGCTACCACTCATCCGATAATGGATAAAGTAAATCAGTGGGAGAAAGAGACAATAGCTAAAATTAAACAAGAAGCGCATAAAGCTCATTACGAACTTCAACAGTTGTTCACTAGATGCAATGAAGAATTAGGACAAAAGTTACGTAGAATAACGAAAGAACTATGTACAGCAAAAGATAAACAAGATTATTTAGAAACTCATTTATGTAAATGGTTAGACGCTTTAGAAGCGCTTCAAAACGAATTGACAACCCCATCGGATTTCAAGGTACATATTAAAGCAATGAGTATCAATGTAACATTAATGCCGATTGAAAAATTTGATCGAGTATGCGGTGATATCAGATTAGAACAAAACGAACTTGCTGTTGTACATGGAGCTATGAATAGCCATGCTGAAGTGCGTGGTGCTTGTTTGTATTTACATGGTATTCATCATATCAAGATCAAGATAGAAAAAATGTTAAAAGACCATTGGATGTTCTTCGGAATAATATCGAGTACAGCTGAAATGGACGAAAAATCGTATTTGACACAATCCGCATACGGATGGGCTTAGAATACAATTCAAGTTTATTTAAATGGTGTTTGCGAAGTTGGTCATGGTGGTTACGATGGCGATGTTAAAGAAAATGATATAATAATTTTAATACTAAATTGTGACGAATCAAAACTTCGGTTGTGCAATGAACGTACAAACAAACAATATGAATTAGTGATAGATACTCAAAAATGTTCACTTCCTTGGAATCTCCATTTGAACGTTTATTCGAATGGTGATTGTGCACGTCTTCTTGTATAACTCATATGGTGCGGTAAAATATTATTTTGATGCTCACACCACTCTCACAGCTTTCCAGCAAGATAATAATGATGTTTTTTGTCCGGATGATATTATACCAGTATTGAACAACTCGTGTTATTGTTTTGCCTGTCAGAGTTTTAACATAAATCTGCATATTAGCGACATATTTTGTTTTGAGACTAATATCGGGATTTGTTAAATGTTGTAACTGATCACTGTTCTACTATTCGCAAGTTCTTTTCCATCATATACTAACGTTTGTACACTAAACTGTATTCCCCATCCCTAGAGATTAGATACTTTTTAACTATCTCTTTGGTATCTGAAATATTCAAGTCTAATGTTAGTATGGTTGTTCCTTCATTTTGAATAAAAACATTAAATATGCCAAGCAGTATGGATAAGTAAGATCTGTATAATAACTCTTCTTCTAGTGTATAATGTGATAATAAATCTGTTTCAGCTAGTGCTCTGCTATATTGTCGAAGTTAATTAACTTTTTCAATAGTTTTCAATGATTTCGCGATGCTGACCAGGTAAAGCTAATTTTAATATTTTCTCAGCCGCAGTGAATTAATTTATACGCCCGAGTGTAGTCATCGTTTTAGCAATGACACTTTCCAATATTTATAACATCTTCGAGAGATACACACTCAAGTTCATCATAAAATTTGGTGTCGACATGTATGATTTCACTGTTTATTTGAGTTTTATGATGTCCCATAATAATCTTGAAATTAAAAAGGTATCAAAAAAGATGAGTTTTGATCTGCTTAGAAATCCTTAATACCTTAAAAGACATTCCAGAAGAACAGAAAAAGTCCAAAACTTTCTCAAGAATATTTTTTGCTGACTATGTTTTCTTCTTCTGATTCTATATCTCCCACAATAGCAAAAGAAACCTTAGCTATTATGTACCAGATTCTACCTGTTCAGAATACAAGGACGAGAAACGGTTTCTGTAAGAAAATGGTCCAATATGATTTTGAGCGAAAATGATCGGAGATGCTCCCTATTTTACTTCCCAACGATTCTGACTTTGAAAAATTGCTACTGGTCTTCTTGAAAAAGTTTGTCATTTCATTTTTCGTCACCATTTCAACAAATACGATACAATTTGCTCACCAAATTTTTCTTCTGATTTCAAACCCCTTGATCAATTTGATACATAGGAAGATAGAAAACTTTCTGGGCTACAAAATAAGCTAAAATAAGCTTTTCAAAAAAAATATCCACATAGAACAATTGTCGAAATACTAAACAGATATCATCATTAAGCTGCTATGATTTTCACCTATGCTTTTGAGTCATTTTTGTTTTAATTGATTTATTCTGCTGTTTCATGAAATTCGAAAAAATGAGACTTGTATTCTATTTAACACTTCGATAAAAGTTCGATGGAAGAGAAGAAGAAAATACTATGAGCCTCACCTTGTTGCAAGACGCTCCGTCGCCTGTGAGTCAGGCATCTTAAAAGCAGTAAATTCAAATTGATTTTTTCAACTTTTGACAAAAACGCAAAACTTTCACGTAAGGGAAGTTAGCAGCAGATTTCTATATTTTCGCCTAAAGTTTTTTATTAAAGCTGTGCCATCTCTGAAAATAAGTGTGCCAAATAGAACTCGATGAGCTCTATTGATTGGTGAAATCAGTTTTCTAAAATATTGTTTCCTTCCCTTGTAAAATGGCAATTACTGATTTTCTGAACGAGACGAAAACTCAAAGGACGGGGGCGATAGCGAGGGCAGGTTCCGTTCAAAAAGCAATTTATTACACCAGCAGATAAAGAACTGTTAGTTCTAGCTTCATATTCAATAGCACGCTTATCCGATGAAAAACGCCTTCGAAATACGCAAAACACTAAGGAACTTTGTGCAAGTGTTCGAACTTCTCCCATAAGACTCTATATAATG